TTTTACTAATTTTTCGTGGTAGAATAACTACGTATATGTAGAAGCTGACAGTAGTTGAACAGGCCAAGAAATTCCCTGTATATCAAACCCAAAATTTTATTTCCAACATCAGACTCCTTCCTGAGCCAACCAAAACCATTCAACATCCTCACACACTATTTATTTAGTACAGAGTTTAACAATGTCCGACTATCTATATCTAGGTCTACCAAGTGGGTGTCCTGATTCATTTTTCTTTGATTGATATTGTGACGGATCGCGATAATGTCCTCTGCTTCCTGGCTCATATTCTTACCGGCTGGCGACTGTCTCACAACTGTCCTACTTAAATCTCGGTACGTATCACACAGAAAACGCCGTTACTCTGATGCTTCTTCAAATTTTTTCCGTGCAAAAATGATGATTTGTAAAGCTGTTGCTCAGTAACGGCTGATGTAGTTTTATTTACTTCGCTGCCGTTGCCCGTCATCGTGCCACAATATTTTGGATATTTTCCATACCCACTCCACAGTTCCTTAAAATAGCAACTGCTCCACAATTGTTCTGTTTCTTTCATAACGTGACAGGATGAAGTTGGAAGGACGCCTCATAATTTTCGTACTGAGGATCCAGTCAGCAGTTACTGACATGACGTATTCTGAGAACAAGAAACCTGAGGCGTTGCTCGTAGAAGACAGATACGTTACTACAGGAATATAAGTGACTTTACGTCATGGGTTTCTGAGATTCCTCTCGCACTTCAATGTACTGGCTCCATACTGTACGAAGAGCAAGAATTTGTTTCATCAGTCGTATTAGGATGACCTGCAGCACAGAACCTGTTTGTGTTTATCCATCACAAGGCAATACTCTGTCGATCACAGTGGCCGCGCAGTCTAAGACGTGAATCGTCTTCGCCAGCTCGTGGGTTCGAATCCCAATCGAGACATGGATGTCTGTATGCGAGTATTCTGCATAAATGATCAAGAAACTGAAAATGCGGCCAAGGCCCAACAAAGAGTTGTAGGAGACAGATAGATAGATAGATAGATAGATAGCTAGATAGATAGATAGATAGATAGATAGCTAGATAGATAGATAGATAGATAGATAGCTAGATAGATAGATAGATAGATAGATAGCTAGATAGATAGATAGATAGATAGATAGCTAGATAGATAGATAGATAGATAGATAGCTAGATAGATAGATAGATAGATAGATAGCTAGATAGATAGATAGATAGATAGATAGCTAGATAGATAGATAGATAGATAGATAGCTAGATAGATAGATAGATAGATAGATAGCTAGATAGATAGATAGATAGATAGATAGCTAGATAGATAGATAGATAGATAGATAGCTAGATAGATAGATAGATAGATAGATTAGATAGGCAGACAGATAGATAGATAAGGTAGACGATACTGTATCAACTGCTGAGGATGTCTAATGCTGAATAAGATATATTATGAAAGTTGCTAATGAAGAAACGTCGAGGTTGTGTATGGAAGCGGTAAAGGGGTATTTCAACTGAAAATTTCGCTATGCCCAGGCACAAAAATGAAAACCAAACAACCGCCTGATTTCCTGCTTTATAAATATATAAAGTCATAAAATTCAAAATACACAGAATGAAATGTATGTGGTGGTTTACAAGGCTCTGATTCTCCATCTCACAGCCTTATGGAAATCGTTCGAAATCAGAGAACGGAACGTCTATTTGGATACACGAGAGGAGACTCTTACATCTACTCTACAAGCCGGGAGCATGAGACCTATGGGAAAACTTACCGAAGAAACGCTCTGTTTCATTTTATCTTAAACTTCCACCGGGATACGAATGCTGGAACTCTTATGAAAATAGAATCTCGCAACATTCTGCTGATGACGTGAGGAACTGGGTCACTTACTGACGAAGATTCCCTCACAATAGTAGACACAGTCAAGTTAAACAGACTTCTTGCGCCATTACAGGGCGAGCCCTCAGGTTATGGACTGAGGTGATGGATTTCAGCTGAGGATATTTCAGTAAGGAGTAGCGCACTGTCGACACGGCGTGGTCCTCCAGCTTGGGAGGCTGGACATGAGGTTTCGACTGCTCACCCTAACAAAGCAGCAGAAGGAATACAGTGTAAGAACGCGGAATGCCTTCATCTGGCACAAGGTTAACGTCCAGCTGAGAGGTCATCTGAACAATACGGCAATGAAATTTATGGTTTTATAAAAGGCGAGGTAGTTTTTGACCAGCTGAGCCACTACAGCTTCCTGTCACATCCCTCCTGATCCTTAATTTATAAGTAATGAAATATGTCCCATTTAGTAATGTAAACCCCAGTAGCTGATACAACGTCTAACAACAGATAAGCACCCAAGTATGATATATTGTACTCCTATACTGCAGGGAACAAGATTCCATTGTTGAAAATAATCCTTGCTCCTGGTACAGTAGATTGTTACGAGACTAAGCTTATTGTTACATATCGATTCACTCCTACGCAACGGCTCGATAAATACGTGCATCTTCCCGCGGAGACAGATTCTTGGTAAACAGCCCGCTCTTTGTAATGCGTATAAAATTACCAGATAAGCATGAAAGGTGTTTTATGTGGTCCGCGCCATGCCCAGTTCTGTGACACGTGACGTGTGTTTTCCGTGAGGCCCGACGCGGAATTCCAGGTGAGCAGTCGGTCGGAGTACGTGAATGGAAGTTGTCAGTAAGAGATAGAAACGGGAAGTTCGTAGCTGAAGAAGAATTAGAAGTCAGCCTATGAAAACTTGGTGTGTGATTAGAAGATTTAGTCACAGTGAGACTACTCTTTTTGATAAGCATGAAAATGACGAAAACTGACGATGCAGATTGTTGTCAGATCAATCAACCTTCATAATCAATACTATCTGTAATCAGGACGAACTGCCAGCTAAGTTTGTTACCACAACTTCGCGCACCAAAATAATTATTGTATTCAGACTGAAAAATTAACGCAATTCTGTGACTCTACCCACTTCGTCACAAGTATCAGCCTCTAAGATTCTAATATTTTAATGCCTGTATGTGATATTCTTTAATACAATGCATTGTAGCATGCAGAATTGTCGTTAAGTAATGACTCAGTACACAACGTCCGCTGCTAGGCGACATATTCCTAACAAGCAACAATAGAACTTTATCAAGGAGGAACGGTGTTTTCTACGCGGTACGTGCCCAGATGTTATAGGCAGGACAGGTCTAGAATTTGGCTAGTTGAGTTGGAATCATCAGACTAGTAGGAGATTGGTGTGAGATGGCGGCCAGCCTGGGAGCTATTTTGTGTAGTGAAGTGCAGGGAAATGAAGAGTTGGTTGGTGAATTAGTGAGACAGAATACTGCAGTTCAGTCGTTGTGAGCTGTTGCTGTGAGAAACTGGTAGCTGACGCACGGAGATAGTTCGGGAACCCAGAGTAAGGGTAACGTCCGCCGTTAGGAGCCGTTACCAAGGAACAGCTGGTGAAGACACAGCAGAGTGAGAAAACTTGGTACGTGGTGTAGTGAACTGCTGACCGTGTGAATTAGCGATAGCTCTATAATTACTTGTAATTACTGTCTGTATGTTGTCAATAAATACAATCACCAGACCAAACCCCACCTATAGTCACTCTATCACTTGACAATATTTTGAATGAAATTTAAACTACTGGACCCAGCTGACCCCGAAGTAAAACTTTGTTATTCGAATGTTGGAGTAGGCTTTACAGAGGACCTTCTTCGAGATCTATTTACTTGAATACGCGAAACATCGTGAGTTAAAGTTTATATTCTTATTGTTCTTAGTTTTAATATTATCCGGACTGTCAGATATGGTATAAGATTGGTCCGATAACGTTAACGAGGCGTAGACTTATAGGTCTATGTGACTAATAAGAGCAGGACTAATAATGAATATTGCAGGCCGCTCTCTACCCCCCCCCTCCCGCCCACATCTCGAATATCTCGAATGTGTGAAGCTCTTCACAGGGACAGTTTTGCTTCAGCTTGGGGAGGTTTTGTTGTGTATTGACGGCACCGCCTGTACCTCAGAGCATATAGTGTCGAATGGAAGGGCGATCCATGAATAATTAATTTGAATGTTTTCGGAAGGAATCGGTCGTGGTCTCATTTGGATGCGATCCCAGCATTCTTCTGAAGGGACTGAGGAAATCACAGGAAACCTAACCATTATAGCCTGTGTTTCGGTCGATGTTTTAACCGAGAACTTCCTACATGCAGGTCTAGAGCTTTACCGCTCCTCCAACCTGCTCAATTAGTTCGATGAGTTGTTGATGATAATAATATCGCAGTTAAGTGCGTATATTTCCTGCTCGTTATTCGGGAGGTCCTGTGTTCAAATTTCGCCTTGAATTGTGTCTCTTCCCTGAAGTTTTTTTTTTTCCTGGGTTTCTTCGCTGTATCTAAGGCGGCCAATACACGTACGAGTCCGGCTTGGCGAGGAGCCGGGCTCGGATTAATTTCACCACACATGTATGAGAGTGGCGACCCACACACGGACGAGTTTGGCTCATTGGAACCCGAACCGAGTCGGACTCGCGAGCCAGACTCGTACGTGTAGGGGCCCCTAAGACAATGACTGGATAGTAATGTATATTTTAAGTCAGAATACGTCCTTTTCCTTCTAAATTCGTCTGAATTCATCATAACATTAGATACTATTATAGCCTTAGTAACAGAAAGCATCGTCAAATCACCAAGATTAATCAATGAAACCAAAACCATAACGATATAAAAATAAACAGAGTAGACACGATATACATATTGAGATCCATCAACACCGGTTTTAAAATTAGACATTCACTGTTTGAAACAGGCATACAATTTCATTAAACATTACACTTACGTACTCGAAGGTTAATAACTTTATATTTTTTCGAGCTTAGCGCTCGCCCGCGTTACTAGCGCTTTCTTGCGGGACAGCTAAGTACTAGACAGTGTTTCACCGTCTAGAAGCATTTCAGATCAGCAGTATGACGGTGGTTATCAACAGGTGTGGAAGTGCTCGTGAGCGTGCGTGACTGCCTGCTCAGCTGAGATGGGTGATGGCGGCTTCCTGACAGAAGAAGAAGAGGAGGACCACAATACTTGCTAGCGCTGAGCACCCTCAGGGAATAAATAAACCGTGGTGGACTTTGCACAAGGATCGTGATCACAAAATGACTCTTATAGTTACCGCCCCTTGATCAAAAGACAGTCGCACCGCGTAAACGAATGCCATTGGCGGAGAGACAGCAACACGTCATTTTAGGCATATTTTTATTAAAGACTGATTTCTAAGAAACCACGCACATGCAAGTGAAATCCCTACACATTTCACGCAGTGATTTAAGTATTTCTACTACTGTGGACATTTTAATTACTTTGAAGAGCGCGCTCTTGAATACCTGCGCCACACGTTGATTTTTGTGTATATAATCCATCTTAAGTGCCTTTGAAGAAGAACTGTGTGACTAAAATTAACTTAATATCACGTGCCTTATAAAATTCTTGTTGGAATTGGATGTGAGGAACACAAATTATATCACAAGCTATATTGCAAAGGAGAAATTAGGAATTATATTTTCATATTATTATTATTCGTAGAATATTTTACGTTGTGATATATACACATACTTTTTAAAACAACAGATTTACGGCCCTGGCTGAAAATCATAATTACATACTTCGTCAGAAACAGTAGTTACTTGTGTGTGAAAATGCCCAAGTAATCTCAGATATCGGTAATTACAAGTTGGCTTTGTTTGCCGAGGAACACAGCTACTGTGTGTTTGCATGCGACTGCGGAAAATAGATAACAGGACGGCACAAGTTCGTACTTGCAGATTAGGAAACAATATATCATTTGCTCACCAGTCGCTAACACAAATGATCAGATGACGTGGTTGCCAACTATCTTGATATCACCTGGCAGTGGTATCAATGGCTGAACTGGGAAGAAAGTTGAGCTCTGAGCGGACCGATTTCTTTTTATCGTAAATCGCGATTAGACGCGAGGGCCTGATAAGATTTGTGATTATCACAGTCGCAGCCATATTTGTTTCAGGCACTCAAGTGTTAGTTTGTGAGTTGACGTTCAGCGTACAAGTGACTTGTAGTGATATAGAGCGGAGTGACGGTTGTGGGAGCATATCTTCGTTTGTACCCGACGGATTGAAGACTTTTTCAAACTGGCGGCCAGCGGAGACGAAGACTGCGCCGAGGCACTCAACCCTTTCGCCGCGACGTACACGTAAGTACTCCCCCACCGCTGACATTCGAAATACCTTCAACCCGAACAGCGGGACAGGGCTCATCTCCATTTTTGACATGAACCCGAGACTCTAGCCTTGTTTTACTCGAATAGTTCACCTTAAGGATTATCAGGTGCGGCTACAAGAGATTTTCATTAATAACATGCAACGATCAGAAGTCAGTCACCATCAGAAGTTACAATATTTCGTTCAGTTTTTGGAATTTATGTTATTCTGCGTACTTTGAATAAATTCTATACATAAATATATATCACAAGTCCCAATCCGATGAGAACTAGGAGAGGAAATGACTTCTCAGATTACATAGACGCTCAGGCATCAGTGGAAACCCCCGGTAAATGAATATATACTATAAACGCAGTGCCCTTATTGTGCATCAGTTTCCTGTAGTTACCTATACAGGATTCGTTCCTACCCGTTTCAGTGCTCGGAACCGCTTTAGACCCTGGAGGTACGAGTATCTCTAGAATTGTGTAGACGGACGGCGTCTGTCGCTTCATCCTCATTTTGAGACCCCAAAAGACCGCATTTAAATATGTTAACATTCTATGAACTGAGAGTAAGAAGTCCGTTTTCCAAGTGTGTAATTCGGAGCTCCTGTCAGCTATAAAAGTTGCGTTTGGAACGCCCGCGTGAAGCTGTTTATGAGAACCGAATACGGCTGTGGCATTAACTTTGCACGTGGCAGATCAGTGCTAGAGGATCTTTTGATAATATTGAATTTTGTATCTTCTGCGGCTGAGATCAAGTAAAAGAGTCTCGTTGCTAAAATTTGAAACTAAGTTCCGGTGAATGTTTAACGCCGTTATGAAGAAGGCAAGATTTGAAATTATGCATAAACTCGCCCCAAGTTACGTTCGTTTATATCAGCAAAGTTAACAGAATCTGTTGAGGTGAGACTGTGATACTGCATATCCGTAGTGTTACGACGCGAAGACTCCAGTTTGAAGTGTGTATTGTAGCCTACATTTTGAGCGGCATACAGCGCCTAAGGATCTTAATAACCGTGTTTTGTGCATCACTTCGCAGCCGCTACGCACATCATTGTCTTCTGATCATAAATCTTTCTTGCTGGTGTTAAAATTTAAAACTAAAACTAAATGTCGGGAGGAAAGTGGATATGTATTATTTTCTGGCTGTAGATGACAACTGTTCCTCGTTGAACGAAAAACGATTAATTCTATTTAGTACAAAAAATTAATCAGCATTATTTAAGTTTCTTTAAACTTAAACCAGTGAATTACTTTAATGCCTTTCATAATTTAACCCAGTGTCGGATAAAAGTTTTATTTCTATCACAAATATATCAAGATTTCGCCCTTCAAAATATAAAATTCATAATAAAACGTCTGGTACGTGGTAACAATTTTTCGATTACGGAAATAAAGTTAATAGTTTCCAATCAGAATTACATACCACGACATCATAAAACAGATTCCCTGAAAAGTTGTTTCTTCATTAACCCAAAATTCTCTATTGGCCCCGTACAAATATTATACTTCGTTAAATGCATTCAGATAAGTCACACTGCTGCAGTATTTCGGACATCAGTCGCGCTGTAACTTCTCAGTCCGACTGTGACTAAAGTCCCGAGATTATTTCGCTAGTACACAGTACCCAGTGTCAGTACAAATCTAACAGAAGCAGATGCAGGTAAGGATGTCTGAGTAGAACCGCTGCCTTGTAGCAGGTTTCCGTTCCTATGCATACTGCAATGTTAATGTCATACGCAGATAAGGCAAATTTATAATCGAACAAAATTATTGTTATTATTATTGCTGTCATTATTTCGGAAGAACGTAAGTACCTGTAAGTCTGTAGATTCCGTCTCTGTCAAATTTATCGCTGGTAGCCACAAAATGCTCACCGTCGCCATGTTTGTAATGACTGACCTATGTATGGAATTTGTAGGCATATTTATCATCATGCCTAAGTTTACGTTCTTAGCTCCCGTGACTCACTTGTTATCGCCATCAAATCGAAAGTTAACCATAGGTTCCATGCAACCACCATTTTGTTGTTGTACACCCTACAACAAAACACTTCAATAAAAGAGGCATAGATTTCGAAGACCTAATCCGTAAATCAATTTACAACACTACATTATCTGTCACTAATGGCGCCCCCCCATTAAAATTTTCTGTTGCCANGATTTGATAAACGTACATTCTTAACGACATGAAAGTAGAATAAACAGGTAAGCATATCAGTTGCATTGTGAACTTGTAAAATACCGACCAGAATTTTTCATAATTAACGTGACACTCTATCTGCACATTGCCAGGCGACATGCAGTGGTGCAGATAAGCTGAATATACGCGATTTTTTCACTTTATCATTGTTTTAACCTGATTCACGTGAACTTGTTCACACAACACTTGTGTGTTTACTCAGTGTTTTTAGTGGAAACAACATAGCCTTCTGGGTTATATCATCCTGCATAATAGCCGTACTTTCTTTCATCCTGAAGATAGAGACCGCAGGTTCCTCCGAGACTACAGAATATTCTAACCTAGAGAACCGTAATGAAAGTCAAAGTAACATGACCGACGGCCAATCTGTCCGTCTTGGTGTCGAGCCCCATCTGGAACTCATGACCAGCTTTTAAATTACCATTTTGCAGCTACGGATTTGTCCATGTTGGACGCCCTCTCTGACGATAGGGCGGGTTTCTCATTTGTCGGAGTCATACTCAGCAGAATAAAAACATTTGTGTGTATTACAGTATGTCAGTTGACAGTATGTACATAGTATTTACTTTACATGTATAATACATAGCAGTATACGTATTATATACGTGTATACAATATATACATGGCTTTAGAGAACCCTAGTGTGGATTTTAATCGTTGTATAACCTCAAACTTCATACCTGAAACAGTTGCAGAAAATCAAATCCCGTCTCCATGTGTTACATTCATCAGTCTCGGATATTCTAACGAGCTACACGGGTCCTTAAGTAAATATATGGACACGCCATTACTTAAAGTAGACTCTGTAAGATGCAAACGTGTTTTGCTAGAAACTGTGATTAAATTTATATCAAGAAACGTTTCTCGAAGTTAATGTTCAGTGCTGTCACTAACTCGCCATCTTTGAGGTCCTGTCTGATCCCTTCAAGTGTTTCCACATCCAAGGGATATTTAGCCCTAATTTTTCTTCATATAATAAATTCATAATGACGCTACATGAGATTATGATAGCACAGTGCGCTAATAGGGCGCAGTAAGTGCTGGTTACAGGTTGTATTAAATTTTCCAGCAAGTATACCTGCCAACAATATTCTCTCTGTCATCAGGTGTCGCCATTTTCATTAAAAATGCTTGTGTATAAGAACTTACTCAAACCTGCATTTTATGTATATTTTATTCAGTGTTGAATGCTGTGTCAGGATTACGAGTTCGTGAAGTAAAACTTCCAGTAATTAACTAAGAACAGTAAACATTCACTTAACTAATATTATTATAACTCTGCTTTCTGACATCTTTGCGTCATCTCTTCAGGTACTGAGTAGCTTTATCGTGTGCGAAATGGCGGCGTACCACATGAATATGACGCAAACACACCGAAACGCGCACCTAGTTGTAATCATGATAATTAGATGTTGAATGTACTTAGCAAAGTAATGTTCGTACACACACCTCCGCGGAAATGTTAACCCTTTAAAGCGGAGGGAAGTAGGAACCCAAAGCATTCAGAATGTGTTCAGAAACTCTGCGTTCTGCCCACAGAGCGATTATTCCCTATACAGAATTAATCGATCGGCCTTTGTAATGAAGATGCTTCGTTTCCTCTGACTATCAGCTGAATTTGTAGATATTATTTAGGTGAAACTCGTGTTTAAATTGTTAAAATAAAATCTATTTGCACGGGCTCTAACGACCTCTTCGGGGTGGATTGAAGTCACAGTTTAGAAATTCGTGGGTATAATTTCGTAAACCAAAGGTACGTTTTAGAGTTTCGCCATGGGAACGCCAGCTCTTCTGTCCACTTGCCGCCCTTCTGTCAGTTCCAAAATTTGAATAGGATTTAATATTATAGTCACTAATTTAACACTGCAGCTGGGATTCTCCTTGTCTGGTACATTTTATTCATACTTCAACAGCACAATTGTTTTGGCCGTGACTAATTATGAGTTGTTAACACCGGAATTATTCCGTGAAGGATTTTAAAATTTTCTATTATAAGAAACCTTGCGCAATTATAAACTGTCTTATACGATAATACAATATAACATCATGCTGACTGATAGAAATATTTTATATGACTGAGGCAGAATAAGCACAGTTAAGTACTCTGGGGCTTTCTGTTCCACGCTAAAGATAGAGGCAGTATATTCTTCCGAAACGTCGGTAAATTTATGCCAGACTAGAAGGCATCATATCTCAGAGGATATCAGTCTTCAGCTTACAGCCGAATGTTGATGGCGAGAATTCTCGGGTTCAATTCTTTTCAACCTTTGTCGTAGTTTACAAAAGCCGCTTCCCGTTTGGCATTTCGCGCTGGGTGTGCAAGCGACAGTGAATATACACTTGTCTCTTGTTCGTTCTTGGCTCTTTTTTCGACGCTAGTTTTGTGTACTGTCCCGAAATTTTCCTGAATGGATGAGGGGAACAGTTATGAACATAAGCACAGCCGGTTCTGGGGTCGAGATTGGTCGACCCCCTGTCTCAAAATCCAAGAATGTTAACTCATCTGCTATGTTCAGTCGAAAACATGCTTTTGGTGAGATAGGTGCCTTTGTCTTCCGGGACAATTTCAGATGTACAAGATGTTCAAACTTGCAAATCGTTTCAGCGTACTGAATAAAGGTGCAATTCAGCAACTATTGTTACAGGCAGTTGTTACTGGGTCTTGATACATCATATCCACATACTGATCACAAGAAAAGTGGAACAACTTTTAGCCCTTTAAAGACTGGATTTCTTCCAGATAACATTGTCACGTGTCCAGGGTTCCGTGGCTAATAGTAACGGCT